TTGCTTTCAGATTCTGTTCACAGAGATGAAAACTGAAAACTGTTGAAATTCTACCAGGCACGACTTTATGACATCTCATCTGAGACCCGGTTCGGCTCCGTCATCCTCGGTCTTCAAATCCCATCGAGTGTTTTAGAAGCGAGTGTCGGTGTCTTGCCCGCCTGACATTGTTGACTGATGTAGCGTGAAATTCGACCCAGAGTCTCCATGTGGTATTTTATTTTGAAAATGGACCGGATTAGCTATGCCGTTTCTGTGTCTGACTTCCTTGGACCAGAGGTTGACAAAACTATCTCCATTCAAAGTCCACTTTCTTGCTTGTTCTGGTGCTTATGAAGTTCAAGAATGAACTCAAGCTTAACTTTGAAGGTAACGTGGATGAGGAGTCCTGAAAATGCCTTTAAGAAATGTATAATATGTCGTACACCAGTATCTTGAAAATAGCTGATCAGCGATGTGAGAACATCTAGGATTAAGTCACGTGTTTGTGTGTGGGTTAAGCTTTAAATTCATATTACTTATCTACTCACCTATAAACTATACTATGTAATTTAAACACATACTGTAATTATAACAGTTTTTAACTCAGCAGTAGCTGTGGTTGTGAAATCAACATATTTTAAAGTCCTGTCCTAATAAAGCCTAGTAGCTTGGTACAGTACATATACAGTGTGCGGGTGTGTGTGTGTGTGTGTGTGGTGTGGTGTGGTGTATGTTGTATGTGTGTGTGTGAGCTCCCTGATGCTCTCTGATTTTATTGACATCACTTATTCATGGCCCTGCTGTCCCACACAGGTCCACTTAAGACCATTGTCACTACACCCAGTTTGAGTGGTACTGATCTGCATTTCACTGTCATGTGCTGCATCAGTGTAGTCGTAATTCAACCAGTATTTCAATCAGACCTCTGTTTACCTTGTCCTGTGTGTGTGTATGTGATATCTATGATGTGGTCAAATATTGGATGTGAAAACAGACAGCAGGTCAATATCAGTCAATGCACCCTGTTATAAATATCAAACCTGTATTATCCATCACTTGATCAGCTCTTTGTTGGCTTCACCTCACTTATCATCTCACTCTGCACAGAAACATAATCTCTATTTAAATAACTTGTTTTGTTCTTTATCCCCAAACAAAAGCTCAAAGCTGGAGGCTGAGGCCTGATTGTGGACTGTCTCACATGACGTCCTTTTCTTCCTCCTCTCAAATCTGTGTCTCCAGCAGCCTCTCCCTAAGCCGGGTAGAGTGGTCTTCTTGATCCTGTGGAAGCTGTTTGAAGAGTTTCAGTCCCTCTGCCCGCTCTGACTGACAGCCGTGCTCCGCTGGCCAGTTGCTGGCCTGAATCCCCCGGCTTTGGGCCTCTGCAGCCGGCTCTCATCCAGGCCTGATCCCACAGAGGAAAGCCTCACTGCCGTCAGGACGGATTTGACAGTCCTCGCTCATCCTAGGGATGTCCAAAGTGCTTTCACAGTGGGTGAATGAACCCCTCCCACCCTTGCTCCCTGCGGCCTGAGCCAACTGTAGTGTGACGGGCAAGTGTGTGTATTGTTTATTGCGTATTTGTTTTATTTGTTAGAAAGATATCTAAAATGTACCTTATGCATGTCAGTGAAATTTAGTGAAGTTAGCCTAGGACGAATTGTGCGTTGTTTGTATAACACCACCTTATAAAGTACGTCTAGTCCTTTGTCAAAAGTTTGAATTGAATTGAATTTTCAGTCCAGTTGGAAGCTACACATTAAAAAATGCTGTGTTAAATGTGACACCAGTGTGGTGAATATCAGCCATTATAAGCCGACAGAAAGATTGTTTTGATCTTGTAACCCAACAGTAATGTAAAACTAGCACCAACACTGGGTCAAAAGACCCAATTGGTACCGAGTCAGATTAATCCAGTATTGCGTCTCACGCTATATTGACCCCAATGTGTTTTGGTTTATTTCTGGAAACTTAAAATGACAGTGTGTTTTACAATAATCGGGGGAAATTATTGTTTTTTTGGGCAGTAGCTGAAATTATCTGACTATATATCACTGAAGGTAAGTGAGAAAATATGTTCTTTTGTCATTTGGGTGCACCGACCCTTTGAAGACAACGGACAAGGTTCAACTTTTCACCACTGGATCATTATTTAGTGAACACGTGTGTCAGGAGACAGACAGGACATTGACTGGGTCAGGAAATGGCTGGAGAGTGTAGACAGAGGAGTGGGAGCTGAGCTTCATTGATAAACCTGCTTCAGTCGCAGACAAGGAAGGAAGCAGCGCAGGCTGCAGGAATGGGAGGGAGACGCTATAGATCCAGTATTGGGACAGGAGTCCAGCCACTGCCAGCCATTGATCAGGATCACAATCAATCAGGAAACCATTGAGCAGCTTGGTCCAAAAATAGAGTGAAAAAGCACCTGAGAGCGAGCAGTGAACAGGGTCAGGTTGGAGTCACAGCTGACCGCCCGAAGACATCGTGTCCCCTCTCGCTCTGATTGCCTGAAGCAGGAAGTGGATCGGAGCGCTGCTGTAAACCTCAGAGATGTGTTTCATAATGGAGAGTATGGGTTTATGCCACTTGACCTCTGACCTTCAAATGTTATTGACATGTTTCCTTGTTCATGGGTCAAATCCTCCTCCCTGGAGCCAGAGATCTTTTAGTTTAATGCACCAGGCTGAACGAGCTGCAGCTGAGAAACCTGTTTTTATGTTTGTAACATTTTAGGGAGAGAGTGTGGAACAGTGAGCATTGTTCAACGGCTTGTATAAAGTCAATTTAAATAATATTTGAATTTAAAAATATGTTATGTGTTTTTATGTGAATTTATTCTGCTGTTTTGCTTCAGCGTTCAGAGTTACTTACATCTTTGCTGTTTGTAGCGTTGCTTCTGAAATGTTTTTTTACTTTTCGTTATTTATTTACCCTTGAACAGTAATTGAAGTCCTAAACTGTTTTTTAAGCCTTGCTAACCCTTTGCACATGTTTTAAAGGACATTAGCAGCGTCAAGCAGTTGTTAGCTTACTGTTTACAAATTAACAATTAAATATGCACTGAAGCTGTATATTTTGCCATATTCTGTTGATAATATTGGGTTTGAAGCATGTCGAGCATACTGATGAACAGAGGAGAAGTTGATTAGGGCGAATTGGGAGAATGCGTCTGCCACTCTAAACAAAAAAGTTTTTTTGGTAAAATTTTCCTTTAAACTTTTTTCATGTTTAGGTTGTGCAACTGAGCTTGACAGTTCATCCTTGACCCTGAAACAGCAGCTGACAAAGCAGTCTCAAATCAAGTTCCACTTAAGCTGCATTGCCACCCAAATTACCCAGAACCTTTAGTCCCAGGAACTACTTTTTGAGGAACTAAAAGGTTCCATCAGCTTGTTTTTGTCTGCGTGTGGTACAGTTGAAATCTACAGAATTAGCTGGTAAGCCGACCTTGAGTCGAGATCGTTTTGTCAAAAGTCACCTAATGGAGTGGGGAACCTGGGGATTGGGACCCACACTAGGGGTCGACAAAGCTTCACGGGGTGTCATGTGACCTTCTTGATTGTAAGGAGTGTGTAAGAAAAACAAAATTACACACAGTTTTCTGTGAAGAAAACTAAAGTAAAGTAAAATTCAGATTATAATTTAAGCTCTAAACTCTGAAGACTTGTACACAAGCTACATTTACTGAGCCTAATTTGTCGAAAAAGAAGCCTGTTTAGTATGTATGATTGCCTAAAATGATCGTTCTGCTGTTCACTGTCTGGGTTCATTATATAGTTTTGAATGCAATAATATAATTATCATCAGTCACCGGTCATCAGTCCCCTTGAGGAAAAAGGTTGGACACCACTGGTCTATTACACATATGTCCTGGATCACATTCTCATAAATTACAACTCAACTCAAGTGTTGATCATTGTTATGATAATGTAACATTTTCAGCTGTTTCTCCAACTCTGAGAAAAATATTTAGAAAAACCTAAACGTAAAAGCAAAACTTTTCAAACTTGTGAATGCAGCAACTGACCCACATAAAAGCACACTTTTCTGTTTATAGCTACAGTCACTAGTGTGTAAAAAAAATAAATAAAAAAAAATAAAAAAACACTTGCACATGTTGCCGTCCATCCCTCGACATACCTGTGTTATAACAGAGAGAATAAAATGTTCTCCTGAAGTGAAATATCACTTTAAGCTGCTTCACTTTGTTTGGGAGCCAGCGAGCCAACGCCGGTGCCAATGTGGAGTAAATCTTCCATGGTTTGTGTGTTGAAGCCTCAGAGAGGAAGGGAGGAGGTCAGAGGAAGACCAATGGGGAGGAGGAGGGCTGAGCGAGGCCAGCAGTAAGACTCCTCGGTCCTGCCCACGGGAGATAAGTGTCCGTCTCCATCCACTTCATATGACCCCGAGAATATGTACAGTATGTATATGATATGGAGATGCACAAACACACACACAATATCCAGATTATCTGCTGGAAGAGGTTTACACAGACCTCACATCTTGAGCCCGATGTACATACACACACACACATTTTTACACACATGAACATATCCAAAGATAGCGTTAAATGTGGCGAGGACAGCATGCATCCGGCGGTGGCTGTGTGGAGAATCGGCCTGACTAAGCTCTGAATTTACATGGCTAAGCAAAGTTGTTAACCCTGAGAGGCAGGGCCAGAGAGAGAGCTAATGGGATTTCTCTTTTAATGAAATTTATGAAAGAGAGTGAGAGAAAGAGAGAGGGAAGCAGAGTGAGAGTGAGGGATGGAAAGATAGAAGAAGCAGTAGAGGAAGGAGAGATGTTGGGGAAGGCCCATGCAGTTCCTTCACATTGTTTCTGGCAGCAGGAGCAGTGATATGTTTACATACACCTTTCTGAATTTTAGTTAGAAAAAGATGAGTAGAAATGCCAGAAATAAAATAAAATAAAGAAAGCTGAAATCTGGCGCAAGAAAAGTTTGTATGCTTGGCTGAGTGGATAAGTTGGAATATTAAAAATGGAACGCTGCGAACAAGGCTGATAAAAAAGTTTCTCACCAGGAAAAGCATTGTCGCTGTGCGACCATCTTATTACGATGCATATTTATGTTTATTGTTAAGTGGTGACCTTTAGTGGCCGCAGTAATTATGAGTATAAAGAGCGAGAACTAGAGCCCTGTGCAAGACTGTTTTCTTAATCTCGCTCCCACATGCTCCCGGTATATTTCTGACCATTACAACCCGCTCCAACTATGTATATGTTCCAGTTTCATTAACCCCCCCGCTCAGACGATATTTGTTTTGGGTGCTGCAGGATCCCAATCCCAATGTAGTCCTGCTGAAATCAAAAGTCAGAGTTAAGTTTCAATTTTCAATTTTAAGTTACTTAAGTTTTGTACGCGACTTACGTCTCATGATTTATGTCAACCCAAACATGGTCCTAAACCTAACCTAACCATTACCAACATTACCTACGTGTTTAACGTTCGGTAAGACTGTCGCTGGTACTCTCTCCGCTGGTCATATATGTCTAGTACTAAAGCAGCTGATAAAAACAGCACAGGGTACACATGGCTGAGAAGAAGAGATACAATCATTCATTCATTTGGTGGGAAGCAGTGATGACGTGAATGGTGTGCCCTTAATTATGTAGTCACAACTTCTTGAATGAATTCACATGGTGGTAGAAGATGGAAAGACATTTTTCTGTGCAGAGAATCTGTGCAGCATTGTGAAACTAACTTATGAAGAGGAAATAAAGAAAGAGGCAAAGAGGAGGAAGAGCGCTGTGATCATCCAACAGCTATGGTAGGTAGACTGTCCTGTGTTTAAGTTTACATGCTTCTTTTTCTTTCCTCCTTAGGAACTCTTCCTGAAATCTATTAATTACCCTATCTATTAAGATAGATAATCATATAAAGCATCATTTTGCTTCTGCTAATTTTGAAAAACGTAAAAAAAACTACACACATTTCCAGCAACGTGCTTTATTGTTCCTGTAATTAAACAACCCAAAAAGAGGGTTTATAGCAGTGTGGCTTCACTGCTACAATCCCTCTCCCTTCAGGTGTGTAAAATAAGATGTAAGCTCTGTTCAAACATACTAACAGATGGAGTTGACATGTTGGTTGATGTTACTTTGTGTTTTCTCTCCGGGGTTCAGCGCTCGAGTCGACGGCTGCCCTCCGGCTGTGTGAGCTGCACCTCGGCCTCTCAACACAAACCCTGCAGCTGCAGGAAGGTCTCGTTCCTCCTGTTTGCCTCGGAGTGAGTGGGCAGAAGATTGTGATGAGCAGGGAAGAAGAAGAAAAAAAAGAAGAAGAAGAAGAAGAAGAAGGGGGCAAGTGTTGAAGTGAGTGAGGGTGTGCTGATGGGGGAGGAAATTACCCCCGAGTCTGCACATTCTCCTGTGCAAACACACAAACACACACACACACACACCTTCGTTTTCCTGGGTTTGGTTTGCTGTTTTAGTTTGATGCTGAGGCAGATTTCTTCATGAGCCCCCCCTCACTACCACCACCACCACTAACACACACATACACCCCCCCCACCACCTCACCCCTTCGCCCCTCTCGCCCTCCGAACCCGGCACAGTCAGCATCGGCGTGGCGACGCCAATCGATGCTCCGCGCCCCGCTGAGCGTGTCCACACAAGGCCGAGCGAAGGGCCCCTCCGCAGGGGATTGTGGGAAATCTGATTTATGATGCCCGCGGTGTTGCTGACCACTAACTTTTGCTCCCTCTCTCTTCGTCTCTCCCTTTGTCTCTCCATCTCTCTTCCGCTCTCGCTCTCTTCTCTCTGTGACTTACCTGTTTAACGCTCTCTCCCTGCAGAACGTTGTCGCTTTATGAAAATGAGAGCGACTGTCGGAGAAGCACCTGGTAAAAAACGCAGGAGTAAAGTGAACTCCTTGGTGGGGCAAATAGGACGGGACTTTGGGCAAAAGGGACCGACTGGAGGATAAGAAGGGGTTTGTTAAGGAGGATGGGGTGAGATAAAGAGGTAGAGAAAGAAAAGATGATTCCATTTCATAGGGATCCGCCTGCAGGAGGAGGATGTAGAGAGGATTTTCACGGCTGCTTTGGTGCTCAGCCTCTCTCATCTGCTGTTGTCTCTGCCCTGGCACTCCTGTGACGTTTTAACCAGCAAGCAGAGCACACACACTCATACTACTGTATCTCATTACATCACACATTGTTCTGTGATGGCAGGGGTCTCCAACCTTTTTTAGAGCAAAGGCCGAAAAATGTCGGAGGGCAACTCTGTACGAACATCCAAATGAATTCTTTCAACAGAATAACATAGCTATGTGTATTTTCACCTGTATCCATTTTCACAAACTGTTTGATTTAAGATTGTGGGTGTGAAAGTTTCTCTGGTTTTGGTAAAACACTGAAGGATCTTATGAGAAATCCACTGATATGAACTGAGAGTCACATTTCTCAGCTTGTCTAATCAAGGTACACCAATTAATAGATCACAAAAATCTAAAAGTGCAACTCAAAGAGAAAGTCGGAAAGGGCTGAGGCCTCCACAGAGAATGAATGGCAAATACAGAAGGGAAGGACAGAGAAATGGTTTCAACTCAGAGCATATGATAAAGAGCAGTCTTGATATTTAATTAATAAAAACACGTCAGTATGTCAGTATGACGTATTTTTATTGAATAACAATAACAGTAGAGAACCACTGATCAGCTGTACAATAACTGCATGAAGTTTATGTAAAACGAGCAATTTGGATGAATTTTAAGCAGATTCTTTACTGTGAATATTGTATCAGAAATAAGTGATTTCCCATTTATTTTTAGGATTTTTTTATACAGTTCTGTCTGTATGATTATTTTTTTTATTTTTAACAATCACACAAACTTCATACAGGCTTCTTTTTCAGTATTTTCTTCTCATTGTTATTCTATTAAATTCTTAAGTTGTTTTAACTGCGTACCTTTCTTCTACAGGACAAAATAATAGAGTGTGTTCAGATCTTCACTGTGCCTTTTTTAATCTTTAATTATCTAAAAAATAACAATTTCATCTAGTTTTCTTCTTGTATATATTTAAAAAAAAAAAAAAACCTTTTCTTTCACCCCTTAAAATCAAGAAAGCCTCTCTATGCCGACCCCTTGTGGGGGTAAGGACCCCTAGGTTGGGAACCAGTGTCATAGGCTATACTGGCAAATGATGTTGCGCTGTATGCAAAGTGTTGAAAGGATAAACAGAATGTAACTTGCAAAGAGTTTGAACTTGTATGCTGGATTAATGGTTGAGGTTTTAGTGAAGTTCCAAAATACACACTTATCTATGCAAACACACAAAATAATCTCATCATGGTGACATCCACTGTGTATCAGTGTGTAACACAGTGACTCTGCTGCGGGGGGCCTCCCAGCCCCTGCTGTGTGAGGGACCAGCTCCTCCTCAGGATGCTCATTCACTATCTCCTCCACTTCAAGAACACAGTAAATTAGAAAGGTAACGCACTGATGGGGCGGAAGATTGCCCTGCTGGGCTGTTGTTTCAGTCTGTGTGTGTGTGTGTTTCTGTCTGTGTGTGAGTGAGGGTTTGAACAGCGAGCATGGTCAGTCCCTTTGTCTTACGACACGACAGGTGCTTGTTTTTCATAATTCTCACCCCCAGCTATTGACTGTATTTTTCTCACTTGGTTGTT